GATATTTAGCATGGATCAAAATCTCTCTCGTATGCTTCAAATCTGACACTCTTTGCGATGACCCGAATTATCTGTGAACAGTTATATCTCTAAATGACATGCGCGGAGAGTCATTACCAATCAAGTAGCTTGTGAATCATGGCACTGTTGCGCTGAAGAATTTATTTCTGCCTATTTGTCTTTTCAAAGTAGATAATCAGGGTCTGTGGACGCATCGGCATTGGCACGGGCAAGCTAGTTTCCATATTCTTGTGTTTGTTTACCTTGGTACGTATTTGGTGCAATATGTCGTTTTTTACTATACGCTTCTCCAAAAAGGGAGTAATTTACGGTTTGGATCTTCTCACATTGCTCGAGAGGTGGAGCTGCCATAATTGCGAACGCATCATGCCCAGACAGATTACGCGTCAACATCGCTGTTTACTTAGTTGCGTGTTTACGAAGCACTGTCGTCGCTGTGGTTGTCACTTTGGCGAGCTGTCATGCAACAACGCCGTATACTGACATGCTGAGTTCAGCAACAACGGCTAACATCGACCTTGAAATGGAACGCAAACCGTCAACTATGAGTACCAACGGAAAGGGAAATCCACCAGATATGCATTTTTCCAATAGTATGAACTTTGCCACGGCGCTGTTTTGCCTCATGTTGGCGTTGATGGGCTGCTTTCTATTTTTGCTGACAATGATCGAAGGTAACTACTTGATTTCACAGAGCGTGTATAGTATAAAATACAAGGTAATACAGTTTTCGAAACGCTCTATATTTTGTACATTTGGCACTGCCCTTATGACGTTTTCTAATAATCGCGGGGACTAATTAACAATCTAATTGAAATTAAAAACCGTTAATTAGACAAATTCTTAATTCTATAGCCAATTTAAACATAATCTATTGTCCTGAGAGCAACCTTTGTTTATGCTGCTTTAATTCATGACTATGATCATCTACTTTCCCACAGATTCGCGATTTGACTCATCTCTTAAAAAATCTCGACGTAGTAAAATTTATTGAATTGCCATTGTTACGCTGTTTGACTTTTAGACTGAGACAGCGTTCGTATGGTGACCTGGACAACGGTCTAATAGCAGGGCAGTCAAATCGGAAGGCAATGTTCCCTATTATTTTGTGAAATCAACGTTAATTGCCTGCTGAAGCAAGGTAATCGCACCAAACTTTTAGATCCTGAAGCAACACAATGTTCGAGACTTCGCCTTAAACCTCTTTAGATAAATGTTGTATATCATTATAAATTACGCTGACTTATCGAAAGTATCGAGTCTCTTTACTAGGATCCAAGCCATGTACTCAAGCCGTTTCATTCTATCCTTCTCTCTGGAGACGGAGAGACATAACTATAATAGACATAACAAATGAAGGAATGCAATGAAAAAACAAAAACATGCACTGTTCTTCTTCAAGCTGAGTAATGAGTTCCCAGAGAGCAGTTCTTCTTCTTAGTATGTATAAGACATGAAATAGCGAACGAAACAAATGTAGTATGTAATGCTGACTCGAAACACCAGCACGGAGGACAGAGAGAACTGGGTCGTAAAGCGTTGAACTATCCATAGATACAGTCTTTATGAAACGGAGGTACGACCGCAGTAGTTACAAAGCGTCTAAGTCTCAAAAGTTTCAGTTTAAGCAACAAGTTTCAGAAGGCGCCGGAAGCGAGCATGTTGTTTTTTCCGGCGACTATCTGAAAAACAGCAATGCTGCATAGAGAAGAGCGCTAGAATACAGAATCTGGTGAAATGTTTCAGTGCTTCTGAGGAAACCCGAATCACTTCAACTGACCACCGACACAACTGCACCAATCACTGCATTCTTCCTTAATACTCTCGTACACAATCAACCAACAACCACAATAATTTGTGACGGCTGTAGACATTTCGTATGTTCCGTGACCGTAAACCTGGTAAGGCAAGCTCAGCATAGTTTCCGCTTACACTTTGAAACACTACAGTTTAGAGATTTCGTAGGAGTACCTTTTAGGCCCGTATTGCTCTCTCCAAGTTTCCTATTCCTTTAACTGAGTGAAGAAACGCAGTAATTTAGATCTGGACTGCACTGACGCCACTAAAGCGGTCTATTCGGCGTTGCTCATGGCGCGAGGTGGAAATACTGGATGGGGAACATTGCAAGAGTATAAAATTAGCAATGCGGAAAACAAACATAAGTCATTCCTTATTAGGTTCTGTCATATAACCATTATGCGTCAAAGCCCCTGTTGTTGCTGTTGTTTAACCGTCGGACTTGCTCCTTTGTTAACCCCCACCACGCTGAGGCAACCTATAGGAAGAACAACACTCCATTCTACGCAGATATTGGACTGATTACTAAAACAACGTTAGAATATGATGCTCTTCTCAACTTTCCTTGGATAGCAAAGGAGCTGAAATTCTAGTGTACTCTCCGTGAGCCGCCTGTAGTTTGCACCTCATGGGTTCCTCAACTTTTGACTTCCGGATATTAAGAAATTAGCCGGCTTTCGCAGCTCTTGCATAAGGAAGCCGTTTGATTTCAAAGCTCGTTCTTAGTATTGAAGTAAATTCAAGCAGTAACTGAGAAATGGCATTTAACGGGTCTGATCCTCATCAACATTTGGTTTATTTGATAAGGAATGGAACAACACCGCTCTCTGAAACCATGAAACAGATTTATGAAAGAGCCTTATAATCGTTTTGATAAATTAAATTAATTTTGCGGTAATGTGCTCAGTGAGGACGATATATGTTCATTGTGAAGTAATATGCAATCGGAAACTACTGTTACCGCTTGACGCTCAATGTGATGCATCTAGATGACGTGACCTCATTACTTCGTTGTAAAGTGCTGGTGCAGCCCAGTTTCAACGAAGAATTACCATCAGCTCATAATAATGACTAGCATGATATCACTTTAATAACGGACTAATTCGAGAACGTTTTGGATGTTGAATCTTTGAAAGTAAAATGCTAACAGCTAATGGATACTTGTTTATACAGGTGTCAATGCAACGAAACGTGAAGAACTATTTCAAACAAATAGCAGGCTCTTCACCTACGATCCTTTCAAGAACGTTACAGCTTACGGCCAATTTCGTATCTGGAGCACAAATGATCAGAAGTTGGTAGAAGTACCTACTTCATGGCTTCAAGACGACGCATATAAACGCCTCAAAATAGAACTTGGTTTCATAGGAACAAAAACTTGGATTGCAGATTACTACTTTGTTGAAAACCGCAGCTACGTCATTGTTCCACTCAGTATGAGGAAAGGGAAAATGAGCGTGAGACGATAAATTATTTATATACGCCACCCTCTTAGCCGCTATTTAGGTGATGTGCAAATCCGTGGATGGATATGGCTATTTCGAAGAACTTGAAAAATACCGCAGGGATCTCACCTACGTCGGTCGCAGAGTGAAAGATCCAACGAAAGGATTGGTACTTCATGTACTGAGTGGAAAAATAAAGCGGGAAGACAAGGAAGAGTTAATAGAACTGGAACTGGATGAGAAAGGTAAGCATGAAACTATACTCAACCGAAATGCTTGTAGCTAAGTGTCAATAGTTCAGTATTACGTACCGAACAAAGACAATAAACACAGGACACATAAAAGAATATACTTTGGAGTCTATCACTGTACTGAGGTATTGTCTGACGTAAGTGTTTATTGCGAGTTTCACTTCACAGTCAGAGATTACCAAACTGATCGATTCTTAGTCGCTAGACTAGAACGCTTGTAACATTAATAAATCACCTATACCATAGCTTGCGTTAACTGCGTTCTGACTGAACCAATTTCTTTCTGATGGCTCATCTTTAACCACTAACTGGATTTGCACGGCGTAAAGTGTAAAGTTACTTTTTATCGAGAATGCGGTTGTGTAAGATGGATGGTAATCAATGCACCTCCCCCTTGCTTCTAATCGTATAGGGGGACCATTCAAGCAAGTCACTGCACCAACGTATTTAAGCATCTGCAGTGCACAAGACGTAGAACCAAGTCAATCCTGTGGCTGAGCAGGAGCCAGTTCGACCACTAACAAAATATACGCATCAGACTGCATCTTCATTGTTCATTTGTAGGAGCTTATCCACATGTCTACACTATAATATGTAACATTCTAAAACAATGTCTGATTAAACAATAATCATAAGTTACACATGATGAGGTAACAGTTTAGTAGGTAACTAACTAAACCGCAATGTTTTATTTTCTGATAATGCAATAACTTACGTATGCAAGTATTGCTACATAACGCTACATATTACATCTAACAATTTAAGTCACGATGGTCAGCCTGAAACGAGTGGCGCTGTCACGCGCAAAATACGCCTACCTGGAATACAGCTATGGTGAAAACGTAAAACAAGAGAGGCCAGATGATCGACACTTCAATCTTCCGCCGATTTGTTCAACTCAGGAGGTGCTGGTTAAAAAAATTATACAGTGATACTTTACTAACTGATACTTTTGTACACAGAATAAACATATTTCAATTTACTAGAACCGCGTTGTCTGCGACCACTTCGCAAAACGAACTTACAGCATGCGACTGTTCGGTGGTGAGCGAAAACAGACATTCCCTCCGACAAAGACGATCCTGTACAAAGAATAAGTGCACGACATCCAACATCCTTTAAGGACAGTAACGAGATGGACTGTGCGACTTCATCGAAACAATTTCATTGGTACGTATGGTGCAGCAGAACTGCCTGCTTTCATTGCAGTTTGACCTGCATCGACGTGTCACGTTTACCAGGAAAGGAGATCACTGATCGAAGGCCCGAAACTTTGGTAGATGACTGAAAACTAATTATACTTAAAAACCGAACTGATATAGCAAACCTACAAACCTTTTTCTTTTCACCGACCAACAATTCTTTGTAGTTATCCGAGCGGATAAAACGCTGATATGAGTCGTTCTTCATCAAGCAGTAAATGTGCTCCTTAAAAATTAGACCAAACAATAAGCGGAATCTTTCAACAGCTGTGTATTGTAAATATTGCAATTTTCATGCTGTATATTCGCTGTTTAATCGAATCACTTTCTGTTACGAAACAAGGCTGCTTTAATATCGTCATATGGAGAGGTTAAGATTACAGAATGGGAAAATTTTGTAGTTCAAATCTCTCAGATAATGTACTCCATATCGGCGACTGTTTATTCTATCAACGCAGAATTAAAAGTTGAATTTATTCTAGCGCTTGTAATTAATGCAACTGTTAATTTCCACAGTAATTCGATTTTAATTAACAATGGTTTCTACCATTCAAATTGAGCATATTTTTTGAAAAGATACATCAGCATTTCAGACAATTCGGATTCTATGATTCGGTCACCACTTATTTCGACGAACAGGAATGACAGGCTGGTTTTATACACTTCAAACGTAATTAGGCTAAATGTAATATTGAATAATGAGATAATAACTTTGTTTAATAACACAAAATCTATTCTCTGACAAAATTAAGTGATGAGATCCATCTGTTTAGAACCAGAATCATCTGAATGGACTGAATGAAATGTTGCATTGTACGTGGTGACATGCGGTAGCGTGTTGATTTCGCTAGACCGCTGTATATAACGCCTGTACGATGAGCAGCTTACACCCGTAGGTCGGTTCAAAGTATCCCACCAAAAAATCTAACCTGTATAATGGTCAGGCATTATAAATCTTAGATACTCTGCCGTTCAAACTCTCTCAGCCTTTGACGACGATAATACACAATAACAACATTTGGCTTATACTGTAACACTTCACCGACTGATCTTACCCAATCACATCCTTACTACAGCTGATCTAAGAATACATAAAATCTCAGCGTCTAACAATTTCAGTGAACCGCAGTATTTAAATCATTTTAATCGATAGAAAAACTGAAGAAGAAAGGTCTATATAGTCCAAAACGGTCAGAAAACTAATAGTTTCCATTCAAAACTGAGCCATGCTTGCATATTAAAGGAACGGTTATATAACGCCCCCACAGATCATCAACCGTTCATGAAGAGTGCTGAAAAATTTTCATATTAAAGCTATTTCACTATAGATGTGGATAATGTGAACAAACCCAAGTACCTGCGAGTCCTGCTGAGAAACTTGTAGCAAGTCGATGAGTAGAAGCAACTGCGGTTGTATAATGCCCTGGTGCAGTTATTCCAAAGCCTATCAAATTGACGAACATTTTGTTCCATGATCATCGTTTGCGGCTTCAATTCAATTTATCATGCGATCATATCTGTCGTCAGCATAAGGCACCAGAATGGAATTAAAGTGGCAACGTGACTTTTCGCAGTTCCCAAATGAAATAGTAAAGACTACTCAAAGAATATAACGAAAAAAGCTTATTTAAATCAAAAATTCAAGAAACAGTGGAGTTGAAATTTTAAATTAATTTGAAAGCGAGAGTGACCCTCACATGTGTACACACCTCGCTCACACTTTAGTTGTATTATAGATTACTGTAGAGCAGAATGGTACATAATTAGGATTCATTGGGTATTGCAAGTTTGAAAGCACTGACGAATTTAAATGAATGTACAACTTTTTACCAGAGCTTCATCAAACGACCAGCGTCCTGGATTCTCCAGATTTCGATTAGTATTATCCATTACTTTACTGTCGACATTTACAGGAGAAGACGCATTTGGTCCGAGAAAGTCGCTGCAAGGCAATATTACGCAATAAGTAGCAAACAGAGGTAACAAATTACTTGTATATAGCGGTCACTCTGATAGGCACAAATCTACAAGAGCTGAAACGCAGGCTCTGAGCTGCCTCCCAAAATCGCAGGTTTTCGCCGGAATACTCTTTTTCCAGAAACTTCATGAAACGCTCACGGCCAACAGGATCGCTCAAAAGCTCATCGAATGACAACGCCCACCGACGTACACGCTTTGGACACACATGATCGCTCCTAAATTTAATGTGGCAAACTAAACAAATGGTGGAACGCAACACGGCATTTTGGACGGCATAGTAAAAGACTGCAGCCGCTGCTTCATCAAAGCCGCATTTTAATCAATTCTACGAGCTGAGGAAATTTTGTGTAAACCACAGATACAGGAGTAAGCATTCCTTTGGTTTCTTCCTCTCCAAAACACACCCAAAATAGCTTCATTAGCAGAATCTGAAGCATGGCAAATACTGTCGCGGAAGCCAGCATGCAACATGAAGTAACAAGACAGAAGCATATCTGCTTTAGAAGAAACTGTTTCTTCTGCGATTAAGCACCAGATACCTTACATCAAAAGTATCATGATGTTACGGGCATCGCAAACTAGAGACACGCACCTTTGTGAAACGTCTTAATGTGATTATTTCAATACACACAGAAGCATTCCAACTGCCAAATATTTTAGTTGTAGTCAACAAAATTGAAAAACTCCACTCATCTAACAACGTTAGTTTTGTAAAATAAATAAACCTGGGATAAAACAAAACTACTAAATCAAACATCGTATAAAATGAACTTAGTAGAAATCCTACGTCTTATCGCATTCGAAGAGATCGTACGTATCGCTGCTCCAACGATTCGGTTCGTGAGATCTCAGGAGCGGGTCGAACTGGTATCTCTGCTCTGAGTAGGAAAACATGCTAAATATGGGCATTTACATAATCACGTTGAAAGCAAGATGTTAAATACAATTCGGCCACTTTGGAGGTTTTCAGCGGGTTTCGGGCTAGACAAGCGTGCAGTAGCTGAATCTGAAATAGAGTTTCAGTCACAAGTTAAAGAAGATTGCTAGTTCACCTCATTTCGAAAATAGTCAATCGTAGCAGAGTACCTTTGAGAGCCAGGTCGGAGGTGACAAGTAGACGGAATCTTAAGACGACTGCTGCGACTCAGCTTCCGGAAATCAACTTCAGTCGTATTAACAGCTCCAGGCTCAAAATACTGTCGTAACCAAAGTAGTTTTGCCACAGAGCGATCACTTACCACGGGCCTGTGGAGATCCCAGAAAGCTCGTTCCTGACTATCAAGAATCTGGCGTTCTTGTCTATCCCTCTT